TGTTGCCTGCGATCGTGGGTATGAATTGGAAATACTTATACATATATATTTCGGGGCGTGTGTTTCAGCTCTTTCACTTTTGTTTTTGTTTTCATTTTTTAGTGGCCAGGCGGACTTTCAATTTCAAGGCTTAAATGTAAGTTGGTAAAGGCCTGTCCGTAACTCGATGGCCAAATCATAGCTTATGAACACAAAGAGCCAGCAATCACACCCTGTCTTTTGTTCTCTGGCCCGCAATCGTACTTGGATTCCTCTCTCTTTTCCTCGACTAATCTTATATGGTACTTCCTGAACACTCGCAGAAAATCTACTATGATCTCTAGAATTTGCCTATATTAAACCTTTGTATTTGTTTTGAATTTTATAAGAAACTGATTATTATAAAAATCATCGTATTTGCCTGCAACTTATCATGTAATACCGAACAACCAGTGCCAATATTCTTATCTTTTGAGTACATTTCCCTTAGTTTTATGTGCATTTATGCATAATCACTTTCTCGCCTTCTGTCCCCCATTAAATTCACAACTGTTCCAGATAACTCTACTGCCCACACGCACACGAGCGTAGATCTAAGCACTTTAATCTAGTTGCCATTGCCATTGTTTGCTCTAAGCATAGAGTGTATATAGAGTCCCTCGTACTACCCCCGGGCACTTTCTTATCGTTGGAAACACTCCCGCCCTCCCGAAAATGGAAGCCCCAGGCCGCAAAGCATAAAGTAAACCTAGTATATCAGTTACAATAAACAATTGCTGGGCCAGTTCTCAATTGTGAAAAGCGAACAAAACATTTGCACCGATTCCAGTCGATTTCGATGCTAAGAGGTTAATATAGAACAGCTGTTGCTTCGCCAAAAAATATTAAAAACCCTGGGAGAAAATCCTATATAATAATTATAATGATATATGATTTTTTAAACCAGTTTTTAAACGACTAAAATCATCACAAAGGTTTTTCAGAAAATGTATAATAATGATATGCAATTTATCTATTTTCTATGTAACTATCCATTATCTATCTATAGATCAGATCAAATTTTTTTTCGAAAAATCTGTTTAGATATGGGTGACGTTTTCCCATACTTCTATCTTTAAAGTTCAAGGGTATACAAGATATTGTATCATATTTATTCCGAATTTGAAGCCAGCTGTGGGCGGTGGGTTGAAAATAAACCGCAACAGGTGTGTATCGGTTGATGGCCTGGTTCCAGGTGTTTATTTTAAATGTTGCGTAACACTTGTCACTTGCACTTGTGGAATGCCATATTCGTGATTCTATTGTGTGACCTCCGAATAGTAGCTTTTATATTTTGGATACCAACTGTTTTTCATTATTTACAAGATAAATCAGAAAACCATTTCATCTGTGTTGACCAAGCAAAGCTAAGATTCAACTTAAATTAAATGATTTTAAATTACAAAACTATTGGGAAATACTATCAACCTATGCTATTAGTTTTAAAACTTTTTTGAATTGAAATGTAGACTTTAAATTACAATTTAAATGACCTACTTTCAACAAAACTATTTAAATTTATAAACATTTATAACATCTATTATGATCTTAACTAAAATATTTGTTTCTGAGAACCACCCCCTTTTAGGATTACTCCAATACTCACCCCTTTTCGTTAGCAGTGTAACCGAGGCGGTGGTCACGCCCTTTATTTTCAGCACATGACTCTCGATCTTGTTGACGCAGGAGGCGCAGGTCATGCCCATTATCTCCAGCTCCACCTCGGCCTCGCCGTTGTCGGGCTCATCGATGAGTTCCGTGGGGAAGCCCAGCTCTGTGATGGACTTGGCTATGTTCTCGGCCGTCACCACATTGGCATTGAACTTGACCTCGGCCTTGGCGGCCAGCAGGGCAACCAGTATGCTATCCAGCCCATAGATCTTCTTGCAATGCTTTTCGATGGCGGCCACGCAGCTAGCGCAGGTCATGCCCCGGATGTGCAGGAAGCACTTAGTCAGCAGCTCCTGTTCGATGGGTATGGCCACTGCCGAACCATTTTGCGCCAGAGCATGAGGTGGAGGTGGAGTGGCCCTCTTTTTGGGCGACGAGGCGGGGGCGGGTGAGGGCGACTTGGATTTGGTTTCCCATTCCGATTCCTGGACGCTAGCCTCGAAGCCCATGTCATCGATGAGCTCGGCTATCTGATCGGCATCATACTGGGCGGGATCGTACTGGACGCGGGCATTTTTGGCCGCCAGCTGGACCTCAATGAACTGGATGCCCGGCTTGGTGCCGATGTTGCCCTCGATGTTACGCACACACGACTGGCAGGTCATGCCCACCACCCGGATGTTAGTCCAGGCGCTGGCGGGTGGCGAGGGTGTTGCGGATGCAGGTGAATCATCCAACGCCGCTGCTCCTGGATAGCTGCACTCGAAGCCCATGTCATCGATATCGCTGGCTATCTGGGCGGGATCCGTTTGCCGGGGATCGTAGTCGAAGTAGCCCGCATGCTCGTCCAGAATGACGCGGGCGCCGAGGATCCCCGGCTTCTGGCCAATGTGCTCCTGGATATTGCGCACACACGACTGGCAGGTCATGCCCACAATGGGCAGGCGCACCGTGGTGGCCATCGTCGCTGCTTCTCTCTCGTCACTTGGCATCCTGCACTAGCATTATATTTTGGGTGGGCGGAACGGAACGCGATCTATGGATGGGTGTACGAAAGACGGAAGACGGATGCGTGATGCGGATGCGGAATATAACTAGAAACTGGAAATTTTGAACTCTTCGGTTGCCCCTCGCTCTATCGCCGTCCCTGTTGCACTCGCTGCGGATGCCGTGTCCCGAATTGTGTCACAAAATACACTTTGGAGCCGAGTGGATCGTGTTGCAGCTGCTACTGATTTGTTGTGGCGAAATCGTCGCCGCCTGCCAGCGCTTTTCACTCGTCCAAACTCCACACGAAACTCACAATTTTGAGTGTTAGTGTTCAATTTCCCAATTAGCAGGCAACAGCTGCTCCGCTCCCGTTATGTTTTTCGCACGGCACGCAACCAGTGTGACCGCGCAAGTGTCGGTCAATTATACCGTCCGGCGTAAAGATGACATTTCAGCATTTTGACTTTTCTTAAAATATTCCAAACGGTCACTCTAAATAAATCGGGCTCAACAAAAATCCATCTTCCACTGCAATCGATTTTCTATCGGCTTTTTATCTACATCTTTTTGATTCTATCGGCCATTTCATCCCATTGAAGTGGCAACATTATTTTAGGAATATGTGAGGTAGGTTTACTCGCTAGGATGGGCTCGGGGATTGGCTAACTATTTGAAAGCATTGTCGTTTCAAGACGAAGCACAAAAAGTAACGGATTTTAAAATCTCCAAAAAGACCTAGGCAGAGTATAAGATATTGAACAATAGAATGCTTTATTAAAACCAGTACTAAAAAACAGTCCGTTGAAGATCGAAATAAATTTAAGACGAATTTCTCAACTCGAAACCGTAGTTGATAATTGGCTTCGGAAAAGATGTTTAAAGTTTCCGTATGAACGCCGAGATCTGGGACAAGCAAGTAGGCTACTCCTTTTGTGAGTGATTCCAAATCGACCACATTTCAGTCAACTATAACAACCAGACGTTCAACATACATAACAGCCCATATTAACTTATTATTTATAAATCCATATACAACCATGTCATCGCCAGGAGAGGCCGAGCTGCCGAAGATATGTTGTACAGAGTGCTTGGCGAAGATACTCGAAGCGATGCAATGTCAGGAGGGCAATCCCATGATTGAAGAGGAATCCCCAAATGAGGCTCCTCTGTCCGAAGATAATATCATCGTGATCATGGGACTAAAAGACGAGACAGACGAAGACCAAGAGATGCCCGATAATATCATCATGGTCATAAACGAAGACCATGAGACGTCTTCCAACGGAGATGACAAAGAATAATTAAAACTATTTCATCAAAGAAAATCCCACAAAAAAAATTGTTGCAGCCTGCAGTAGGATTACTTCAATAATCTTTATACACCGGAGTTACGAATTCTTGTCCGAGTCATGATTGCCATTAAGAACGCAGCGTTTCCCGACAGAACCAAAAAAATCTAAAGCTCTTTGATAATGAAGTGTTTCCAATTGTTATTCTTTAAGTAAGTAAATTTTTTAAAAAGGATTTTTACAATTCTTAAATTTTTTCCACAAATAAGGTAGGACTGGCAGCCGATTAAGAATATGCTGTTTTTTATAAATGACTTTCCCAACCCGCGGACGTTGTCCAATAAGTTGACCTTAGTGTGGGATAACCAATTCCGGAACGATTCGTATCGCCAACATAAACCAAATTGGCGCTATCCCGTCTCCAACAAGAATCTGCAACAACCTAGTCACGCGTCAGTACCAGTACCACTTGGGCGATTCGTCTCCAGGAGCATTACTCTTTCAAAATGGTGCTACCCTGTAATCATCAACATCCCTCTGAAACCGAAGTATGCTCTTTAGGAGGATCAGAAAATGCCAAGCAAAGAGGATGGGGAAAAACAAATGCAATGCAAGCAAACTATCTACTTAAATGTAAAAAACTAACAATACACATAATAATCTGACATTTTTATAGCCGTTACTCGTAGATTAAAAGGGGGGTATATTGTATTCGGGGAAAAGTATGTTCCAAACGCTAAAATCTAGCTTGATGCCCACGTTTTTAAAGACTGTAAAAGGTTTTGATTGTTCCTATATTCATATATTTAAATTGTTCAAAAGGGACCATTGAGATATAACCAAGTAATGCAATCGCCACCAGGTGGCGCCCTGCAATCTGGGAAAAAGTAGTTTTGCTGCTTGCATATCTCCATCTCCCTCGCACTCCCCTTAGCAAAGTAATATATATATAAATCCAATGTTAGAATCTGAATCTAAAACAAAATCATTTTTATGGACATTGTTTTCTAAAAACCATTAAAAAATAATCTATAAGATTATAACTTTTTGTTTTTTATTTATTTTACGATAAATTGATTTTTTTTGCTTTTAGCATGTGCCCTAATTAAATACAAACTGCAAAATACATAATTGGTTACGGAAAAGGCGTTAAATAATCATAGCAGAGAGAACTTCCTCCAAAACATTAAACTTTCTCCAAATTAGTCGGCTCTTCCTTTGCTGTTGTGCCTTCCTGAGTTTCAGACTGCTGTGGCCTAGAAGGATGAAAGGTTGGTGGAGAAAATGCCCAAAAAGGTTTTTTACTTACATCAGAACAGGAGGATCCTCCTCCAGAGGCAATTGCTCTACATTTTCAGTTTCACCTTCCTGAGATACAGACTGCTGCGGCCTAGAAGAATTCAATTTTAGTGGAGAAATCGCAAAAACAGGTTCTTTTACTTACATTGGTTCGGAACTATTCTCCGCCTCTGGCTCAGGCTCAGGCTCAGGCTCAGGCTCAGCATTGTAAAGGCTCTTCTTTATGAAGCCAAACACTCCTCTTCCCAGGCTCACCATCGTTCTCAAAATAACCGATTTATGTGGCTCGGGAGATTTCTCCGATACGATGTCACCAAGATTTTCATTCTGCTGCAGGGCCATCAATATAGTCGATTTTTTAGCCACGCATTTTTCAGATTTCTTAAAGTTAGGACGTTTTAGAGTACTTTTTGGCTTTTTTGATTGACTTGGCCGTTGACCGCGGCTGGCCCTTTTCGAGGAGGCGTTTGCTCCATCACAATCTTCGAGACTACGAGGACTCGGGATGTCTACTGAATCTTTTACAGGGATTTCGACCTGTTTTTCGCGGACCGACGCTACTTCGCCTCTTTTGTTTTTTTTGTTTGGGTTCGGATATCTCGGCATAGCTAGTTTTTTGGGTAATAAACCAATGTAATGAATGTTAAGAACAAATATAGTTGTAGAATTTAGTTGATGTTGGCACTAATTTTGTAAGTTTTTCGTTGTACTCTCTAGACTGGGAGTCGACACACTGAGGCCCTTATAGAAAACGTATATGAAGTGCTGGTAAATGGTTGCTAAGTTGTATGTTTCGGATAGGAAATGCTGTAAGGTGTTGTTTGAATTTCAATAATATATACATGAATGAACATGAACATGAATGTATAAACTTAATAGAGATGGAAGCGCTTCCTTCTGCTTGATATATACTTTCCATCGAATCTAATGTCGAGATATACGAGCCCATTCACATTTAGTTGCATTTACTGTTCCCATGAAGTTTCTGTATGCTCCTTCCTGGGAAGTCAGGTCAGAATCCCAGTAAGAAAGGCATTCGCAATTCCGAGTCAAAATTTGTATATTGAAATCACTTCCTTGAAAAAGCCCAAAAGTGGTATTGAACGAACCACCTTTAAGACGATTTCGAAGAGTCAAAGCAAATGACCGAACCCGAGTATAAAGGCCCTACAGCAGACAAAAAAGGTTGCTGATAACGATCCGGAGGAATCTCCAGAGGCTCTCTTCACCAGATCGTTGTAAATAAAATAAATTACAAAATAAAAGTTATTTACTAAAAACTTAGTTATTTAAAGATTAAAATGTGATGTTTTTAGAATATAAGGTTCCAAATAAGGATCTATTTATTTTTATTCTGACTCTAAACACCACCATTGGCAGACTATTTTAAATATGTAAGTATTATGACATGGTAAAATATCTAATGTACAAGATAATCTCTTTGCAATGATTTCCCTCCATCTTTTTTGTTTGGCACTGGTTCATCAGGGATCGCCAATCGCCGACCGTCATTTTCTGATCCTCCAAATGAGCATACTCCGGTTCCAGGGGGCAGTTGCGATGATGAGAGTGGACCATTACGTCTGCTTACGTCGCGTCATAGAGCGAAAAGCCGCGATACTCACTGGTATGATTCACCGGCGTGCGGGTGATCCGTTCCCATGTCTGCTCACCGTTTCGCGATCGATCGCCGGTGTCCACCAGGTGGTACGAGGTCATCCCATCGCAGATCACACAGAATCGCTCCGAAACGAAGCACATCGAGTAGTTGTAGTCCCCCTCCAAATGTTGGAATCCATCGCCCTGGTCGCGATAATCGATGGTGTAGGCAACCCGCTGGCCAAGGGAATTCCCACTTTGCGGATCGTAGAGGCACTGCACCAGCTGGTGGCGCACATTGATGTAGTAGCTGCAGTGGCGCTGCCAGGGATCGGCGACCAGGTGATTGTGCCGGCCGAAGAGCTCCACGTGGAGCAGCGAGTACTGATCCCGGTGCGCAAGCAGATGCAAGGGCTCCACCTCGATTTCTTGCCGGAGCACCGGAACCGGATCAAAGGACAGTTTGTAGCCACGAAGTTGGGACACACCAGGCTGCGGTCCAAGCACAGCTCCACCACTGGCATTCTGATTTACAATCCGATCCTGAGTTAGATTTAGAACCTGGCCAGAACGCGCCACAAATGCTTGCAAATGGAGAGGAAATTCCGACAAGACGAATTCGGACAAAACAAATCAAATCAAAAATTCTCACGTCAGCTTGTAATCGATTGTCGGCTACGATAGATATGTGTTTCATCTTTGTTTGTTATCGCCTATTTAAACTTGTGGCGGCATTAAATATTTAGGGTATTTACTAAAAACGCATAGCAACTCTATAACATCCTAGTATTACCAACCCGCATTACTTACATTAAAAACAAAATAGAAAGTATGTTATAATAAAAAATTATATATTACATGTGGTTACTTTTAACAAATTAAATAGCATTCACATCTGTTTGAAAATTCAACATAACCTTTACAGCTTAAATTTGTTTTACAATTTCAACAATGCAGACGCTCAACAGTTTAGGAAATATCCAGATTATTTATTTATAATTTAGTTCTAGATTAATATTTTATATAATATTAAAGGTCTCCCGGAAAGGCAAGTAGGCGACTCCTTTTCCTTTCTCTACACTTCAACTATACTTCATTCAACTATAACAGACAGACGTCCTACATACATTAACACCCTATATTAAACTATTATAAAGAAATCCATAGAAAACCATGTCATCGCCAGGAGAGACCGAGCTGCCGAAGATATGTTGTACAGAGTGCTTGGCGAAGATACTCGAAGCGATGCAATGTCAGGAGGGCTCTCCTATGATTGAAGAAGAATCCCCAAATGAGGCTCCTCTGTCCGAAGATAATATCATTGTGATCATGGGACTAGAACACGACATAGACGAAGACCCAGAGATGCCCGATAATATCATCATGGTCATAAACGAAGACGACGAGATGGCTTCCAACGGAGATGACAAAGAATAATTCAAATTTTCATCGAAGAAAAACCCACAAAAAAATAAAATAAAAAAAGTTGTTGCACCCTGCACAAGAATTACTTTAATAATCTTTATACACTGGAGTTACGCATTCTTGTCCGAGTACAAGTCATGATTGCCATCAAGAATGCTGCGTTTTCCAATGACAGAACCGAAAAGCTCTGGCGCCCTTACCAACAATTAAGGTAAGTGGATTTTCAAAAAATATTTTCACAATTCTTAATTATATTTCACAAATAATATAGAACTGGCAGCCAACGTAATGGTCGATTTTTATCATGACAACTGCCCTATGGAACCGGAGTATGCTCATCTGGAGGATCAGAAAATGCCGGTCGCCTATTGATGTTCCCTGATGGAGATGAATCAGTGCAAAGCAAAAAGGACGGGGGGGGAATCATTGCAAATAGATCATCTTAAATGTAAAAGCATACATTACATTAGATCTTTTACAATGTCATAAAAACTACATATTTAAGATAGTCTGCCAATTGTATTTAGAGACTGAATCAAAATAAATATATCCTTATTGGGGACTTTTATTTTTTAATGTATTTTATACAACGATCTGGTGAAGAGAGCCTCGGGACATTCCTATGGTTTGTTCATCAACCTTTTTTGTCTGTTGTAAGGCCTTCTTTATATTCGGTAGTTCGTTTAATACCACTTTTGGGCTTTTTCGAGGACGCAATTTCAGTATCTACATTTTGAAACTACTAAGATTTCGAATTGCGGATGCCTTTCTTACTGGGACTCTGATCTGACTTCCGAGAAAGGACCATACCGACACTTCAGTAAACACAGCTACATGTGAATGGGCTCGTATAACTTGACATTAGATTCGTTAGAAACTCTATTAAGTTTATATAATCATGTTCAGGGTAACTAGCTGATATATACATATATTATTGAAATATATATTATTGAAATTCAAACCACACCTAACAGCATTTCCTATCGCACAAAACATACAACTAAGCAACCATTTACCAGCACTTCATATAAGTTTTCTATACGGGCCTCAGTGTGTCGACACCCAGTCTAGAGAGTACAACGAAAAACTTACAAAATTAGTGCCAACATCAACTAAATTCTACAACTATATTTGTTCTTAACATTCATTACATTTGTTTCTTACCCAAAAAACTAGCTATGCCGACATATCCGAACCCAAACAAAAGGGACAAAAGAGGCGAAGTAGCGTCGGTCCGCGAAAAACAGGTCGAAATCCCTGTAAAAGATTCAGTAGACATCCCGAGTCCTCGTAGTCTCGAAGATTGTGATGGAGCAAACGCCTCCTCGAAAAGGGCCAGCCGCGGTCAACGGCCAAGTCAATCAAAAAAGCCAAAAAGTACTCTAAAACGTCCTAACTTTAAGAATTCTGAAAAATGCGTTGCCAAAAATTCGACTATATTGATGGCCCTGCAGCAGAATGAAAATCTTGGTGACATCGTATCGGAGAAATCTCCCGAGCCACATAAATCGGTTATTTTGAGAACGATGGTGAGCCTGGGAAGAGGAGTGTTTGGCTTTATAAAGAAGAGCCTTTACAATGCTGAGCCTGAGCCTGAGCCTGAGTCTGAGCCTGAGCCTGAGCCTGAGCCAGAGGCGGAGAATAGTTCCGAACCAATGTAAGTAAAAGAACCTGTTTTTGCGATTTCTCCACTAAAATTGAATTCTTCTAGGCCGCAGCAGTCTGTATCTCAGGAAGGTGAAACTGAAAATGTAGAGCAATTGCCTCTGGAGGAGGATCCTCCTGTTCTGATGTAAGTAAAAAACCTTTTTGGGCATTTTCTCCACCAACCTTTCATCCTTCTAGGCCACAGCAGTCTGAAACTCAGGAAGGCACAACAGCAAAGGAAGAGCCGACTAATTTGGAGAAAGTTTAATGTTTTGGAGGAAGTTCTCTCTGCTATGATTATTTAACGCCTTTTCCGTAACCAATTATGTATTTTGCAGTTTGTATTTAATTAGGGCACATGCTAAAAGCAAAAAAAATCAATTTATCGTAAAATAAATAAAAAACATAAAAAGTTATAATCTTATAGATTAATATTTAATGACTTTTAGAAAACAATGTCTACAGAAATGATCCTTTGTTTTTGATTCAGCTTCAAACATTGGATTTATATATATATTACTTAGCTAAGGGGGGTGCGAAGGAGATGGAGATATGCAAGCAGCAAAACTACTTTTTCCCAGATTGCAGGGCGCCACCTGGTGGCGATTGCATTATTTGGTTATATCTCAATGGTCCCTTTTGAACAATTTAAATATATGAATATAGGAACAATCAAAACCTTTTAGTCTTTAAAAACGTGGGCATCAAGCTAGATTTTAGCGTTTGGAACATACTTTTCCCCGAATACAATATACCCCCTTTTAATCTACGAGTAACGGCTATAAAAATGGCTGATTATTATCTGTATTGTTAGTTTTTTACATTGAAGTAGATAGTTTGTTTGCATTGATCCTCCTAAAGAGCATACTTCTGTTTCAGAGGGATGTTGATGATTACAGGGTAGCACCATTTTGAAAGAGTAATGCTCCTGGAGACGAATCGCCCAAGTGGTACTGGTACTGACGCGTGACTAGGTTGTTGCAGATTCTTGTTGGAGACGGCATAGCGCCAATTTGGTTTATGTTGGCGATACGAATCGTTCCGGAATTGGTTATCCCCCAATAAGGTCAAAAAATTGGACAACGTCCGCGGGTTGGGAAAGTCGTTTATAAAAAACAACATATTCTTAATCGGCTGCCAGTCCTACGTTATTTGTGGAAAAAATTTAATTGTAAAAATCTTTTTTAAAAATTGTACTTACTTAAAGAATAACAATTGGAAACACTTCATTATCAAAGGGCTTTAGATTTTTTTGGTTCTGTCGGGAAACGCTGCGTTCTTAATGGCAATCTTGACTCGGACAAGAATGCGTAACTCCGGTGTGTAAAGATTATTGAAGTAATCCTTCTGCAGGCTGTAACAATTTTTTTTTGTGGTGCTTTCTTTGATGAAATAGTTTTAATTATTCTTTGTCATCTCCGTTGGAAGCTATCTCGTCGTCTTCGTTTATGACCATGATGATATTATCGGGCATCTCTTGGTTTTCGTCTGTCTCGTCTTTTAGTCCCAACATCTCCTTGATTTTATCTTCGGACACAGGGGCCTTGTTTGGGGATTCTTCTTCAAACAAAGAGAGCATCGCTTCGAGTACCTTCGCCAAGCATTCTGTACAACATGTCTTCCACAGCTCAGCCTCTCCTGGCGATGACATGGTTGTCTATGGATTTCTAAATAATAGTTTAATATAGGGTGTAATGTATGTAGCACGTCTGGTTGTTATAGTTGAATGAAATATAGTCAAAGTGTAGAGAAAGGAAAGGGAGTAGCCTGCTAAAATACTATTTCAGAATTAAATTAGAAATAAATAATAAGTCTGCATTGTTAAAATTATAAAACAAATTTAAGCTATAAAGGGAAAACGTAAGTGGTTTCTGTTTAATTTTCAAACAGATGTGTCCACTTGCTTAATTTGTTGAAAGTCAAAACATTTAACATTAAATTTATAATTATAATAATTTGCTTTTAATGTAAGTAGTACTGGTAGTACTAAGATGTTATAGAGTTGCTATGCGTTTTTAGGAAATACCCTAAATGTTTAATGCCGCCACAAGTTTAAATAGGCGATAACAAACAAAGATGAAACACATACCTATCGTAGCCGACAATCGATTACAAGCTGACGTGAGAATTTTTGATTTGATTTGTTTTGTCGGAATTCGTCTTGTTGGAATTTCCTCTCCATTTGCAAGCATTTGTGGCGCGTTCTGGCCAGGTTCTAAATCAAACTCAGGATCGGATTGTAAATCAGCATGCCGGTGGTGGAGCTGTGCGTGGACCGCAGCCTGGTGTGTCCCAACTTCGATGGCTACAAACTGTCCTTTGATCCGGTGCCGGTGCTCCGGCAGGAAATCGAGGTAGAGCCCTTGCATCTGCTTGCGCACCGGGATCAGTACTCGCTGCTCCACGTGGAGCTCTTCGGCCGGCACAATCACCTGGTCGCCGATCCCTGGCAGCGCCACTGCAGCTACTACATCAATGTGCGCCACCAGCTGGTGCAGTGCCTCTACGATCCGCAAAGTGGGAATTCCCTTGGCCAGCGGGTTGTCTACACCATCGATTATCGCGACCAGGGCGATGGATTCCAACATTTGGGGGGGGACTACAACTACTCGATGTGCTTCGTTTCGGAGCGATTCTGTGTGATCTGCGATGGGATGACCTCGTACCACCTGGTGGACACCGGCGATCGTTCGCGAAACGGTGAGCAGACATGGGAACGTATCACCCGCACGCCTGTGAATCATACCAGCGAGTATCGCGGCTTTTCGCTCTACGACGCCCGACTGGATGTGGTGCAGGAACGCAAACAAATCTCTCTGCTGGCCGGCCATGTGGCACGCCGGGAAAAGAACACGGCCAGAGAACGAACACACGTCTATTACATGGATCTGACATGGGGACGCTGGACCCAATCGCTGGCCAACGGCGAGTGGTCATATATCGTCTGCCAGCGTCTAGAGACCACTGGTATGGTGCTCTACTGCGCCTTTGAGCCGCGCGCCGAGTCCCTGATCATTGCTAGCAATCGCGATGTGCAGACACCCGAACAGCGTCGGGAATCTGATGAAGCAGACGCTGTAGCTCCTGTTCTAGCAGATCCACCAGTTCCTCCAGTTATCGAGGTGGAAAATGGCGACCAACCACACTATTGCTGGACCCAGACAAATGAAAACGTACACATTCGTTTCGAAGTGCCCACTACCTCCACCAAAGAAGACTTCAGTGTAATCTCTACAAATACAACTGTTGAAGTGAAATATCTGGACGAGGTGCTCCTTACCGGGCAGTTATACGCCAGTTTAAACGAGGATTTCACCACCTGGACCTTTGAGGCGGAAGGTATGGAAGGCCTGGAAGTCACGCTGTCGAAAGATGAGAGAAAGCACTGGCCACGATTGCTCGCACAGGGGGAAGATGGCGACGAGGGCGCAGCGCCGCTGCCTATTCCCAATCTTGAGGATCCCATTGAGGAGTGCGACCTGGGACTGGTTGACGAGGACATTAAGATGGGTGAGTGGTGTATTCTTTTGCACAGAATGAAAATATTAATTATGGATTTCTCTCAACTCTCCCAGTGCGCTTCAATCTGTCGAAAAAGTGCATTACCCACACCATTTTCCTGGGCTCCAATCCACTGCTGTTCAACGCCACGCTGCGTCCTGGATTTCCGGCCGCCTTTGCCACGCGCCAAGGCGTCGATGCTTCTATTTGGTTGCAGAAGTACCAGCCGAGTCGACCGGACGAGTGGGGCGTCCGCCACGAGGGCCAGTTGCATGCCTTCGGCTATGTGCAGGCCTCCAAGGAGATGCGCAAGTACACCGCTTGCTGCCCGGATCTGGAGTACGTGGCCATCTGTGAGACCTTTCGCCATGTCCTCGTCTATTGGCCGCGCCACGACTCAGCCGGCGGACTGCGCAAGCGCAACGGTCCGCCCGTCACCGTGGGCAAACAGAACCTCATCACCATCGACCATACCCTCGGCGAGATCGTGGGCATTACCACAGCCAACAATGTGATCACCGTTCTTACCAGACGCGCTCTGCTTCACCTGCAGGTGTAGCAGGCTATCAATTCCTTCTGGCTTGAAACACTTTTTGGACTTTTCTATTTTTATTTACGTTTAAAATTTATCGTTGAGTGAACAATAAATGCACATTTTTAAACCACCAATGGCCTCGCCATTAAAATGTTCAAATTATCTTTTGGGAATCGTTCGCTTTAAAAACATTTTGAAAAAATAATCAAATATAATTTTAGGATATCGCTCAAAAGTATTATTTGTAAAGCAAAATGTGATTTTCTAATGACTTTTTAATTTAGTTTTGTACAAATTAAAGCTTAGCATTTTTAAAACTAAGAATTATTTGTTTATAAAATGGCTTATTTAATCAAAAAATATCAATATCAATTAAACAGGTAAGCTTTAATGTTAATTAATTTGCAATCCTTCTCATCAATCAAAAACTTTTTTTTGGTGGATTATAGTTATATATTTAAAATTATTTTGAGTTCATTGTTTTGAAGACTCAAATTTAACAAGGCATAGATTCAAAATTTTTGTTTGCTTTCGGACATATTTTAATATGAAAAATATTAATACTATTGACTTCACAACATAACTGCTAAATATAATTAATAACATTCTTTACAGCTAAGTAAATATTTTATTTTATAGATTTTTAATAATTGCACCCAAACAAGTTTTTCACCGAATCTGGCAACGCTCCTTTCAACCGCCTGGTATCGATAGGCGATAGCTGCGATAACAGATACGTGTTCGTGCAGTGTTGCACATCGACCGGCAAAAAGAGTGTTGACACGTGTCAGAACTTTCGACCTATCACACCAATCGAAGAACGATAGACAAATCCCTTGAAAATAACGCCGACCCACTTATCGATATCATATCACAAAAAACAAAAACACGTCACGTAATCCGGACGGAGGCTGGTGAGTCCAAATGATGACAAGGTGGCATCGCACTTGCCCGGAATCTAGTGACCCAGCGTTTTTCCATTGCAGCTGGGTAAATCGCAGGCGGTGAAGCAGAAAATCAATAGAATCGAGTCCGTGTACTTGGAGCCCCCAGCAGATACCAAAAAAGGAGAACACTACCACCAGCCATGAACACACAACTCGTTCTCTTTGTGGCGGCCCTCATGATGCACTGCATCTCTGCCGTGGAATTCACCTTTGATCTGGCCGACAATGCGGAGGACTGCTTCTACGAGGAGATCAAGAAGAACTCGAGCGCCTACTTCGAGTTTCAGGTTTCGGCCGGTGGGCAATTGGATGTGGACGTCACCCTGAAGGATCCGCAGGGCAAGGTCATCTACAAACTGGAGAAGGCCACCTTCGATAGTCATCAGTTTGTGGCCGAGACGACGGGCGTGTATACCGCCTGCTTTGGCAATCAATTCTCGGCCTTCTCGCACAAGATCGTCTACGTGGACTTCCAAGTGGGCGAGGAACCGGCTCTGCCGGGTGTGGACGAGCATGCCACGGTGCTGACGCAAATGGAGACGTCCTCCCAGGCGATTCACAAGGGCCTCAACGACATCCTGGATGCCCAGACGCATCATCGACTGCGGGAGGCGCAAGGTCGCAAGCGGGCCGAGGATCTCAATCAGAGGGTCATGGTCTGGTCCTCCCTGGAAACGGCCGCCGTCATCCTGATCGGTCTCGTCCAGATCATGGTGCTGAGGAACTTCTTCACGGACCGAAAGCCCAGCCAGGCGCACTACGGGCGGCTGTAGAGGATCGGGGTTGGTGTCGGGATCTAGCTTTGTGTAAGCCCTTGGACGGAAAGGGAGCTCTCCGATCTGTCCAATCAATCATAATCCCCCGAAATGTTGTCAATCTCGTCTTAGCCACAACGTATTCATTCCCCCTCCCCCTGAAGGGCGTTTTCTATTCGGGAAAAAAACCCCCTAACGACATGTAATATTTTTTTGTTAAGACCTCACCCGGAAAAACAGAGAATGCTTTTTTTTTAAATACATGCAAAAGCAACCATAACTCGATAGCTAAAGGTAAACATATTGAGTGTTTTAATAGGGGGTCCTTGGGCTAAATAGGCCATTTTCATATATGAAATATAGGTTGGAGCACTGTCAGAAATACGAAAATATAACATGAGATGGAAAAATTTAATTATTATAGTACAAATTATAGAACCTTATGACCGTAAAAAAAGATCTAGCAAATTGGAAGTCTACCCTTTCTTAATATGGAACCAAAATCAATCGAAATGCAATACTTTTTAGTTAGGTTTAGAAGGGAAAAAATAGTCTTAATATTTCCCATTTTAGGTGGCGTGGCTTCTTTTAGGATACATAAATGTAGCTTAGATATGCTTCAAAATTCAGCTGAGTAAATATGTGAAGAGTAGAAGGGTTGTGTCAGAGAAGTTATGTTTAATTTTAAAAATAATGAGCGAGAAAAATCTGTCAATTTAATGGTAAAGATATGATGATGTGGTCCTACACTAGAACTCATATCGCTAATTGTATTTTCCTTAAATAAAAATAAAGCATAACTTACAATTATTTCGCTAAAATTTATTTTTTGATAAAAGTCAAATTTGATAACTAATGACAAGTACTTATCAAATGGAATAAAGAGCTAACCTTATCTACATTGATTTTCATTAATGCATTAATTTTGTTGAAAACTATCTTTCTTATCAACTTGGTAGATTTGTTTGGCATTATGTTATTATTTTTTCCCAAGTGATAAGATATCTGTGTTTTCTGCATTTCACACTAAGATAAATCAAAAGGTAATGCGATTGCTAAATCGTGACGGATTCGGGTTACTAAACGTCAATTATGCAAACAAAATTATTGCCACTGCTAAGATAATACCCTATTCAAATGCAATAAATCTTTTTAACTGTTTTATGTTCATTGACTGACTTTTGGAATTTCGCAGATCTTTTGTCAATCGCGATGGCATTGCCAAATATGTATGTCCAGCTATAAATACGTTAAATGGTATGCAAATATGGTCGTTTGTCCGTATGCCAATTAATAGTATTTAAATCAGTCCAAGACAATGACAGTGACACATCGTTGGTAGTATGTTTATTGCCCCATTCATGATAAAAGGTGCTGAAACAAAAAAAAAAAACTAAAAGATAGGGCACATATGGGATTTTTATTTACCAAAATAATGGAAACAAGATAGGCTTTATACATATTTAAAGGAATTTTTAAATGTTTTGTTTTTAAATCTATATAAATTTAATCTAAGCTGACCTTGTTCTTAAAATGTTTTTCGGAAATAGCTTATAATGATTAATTAATACATTTTAATTTATTTCAATAGGGTTAAAATCTTTTACTTAACGTGATGTAATACAATTTATATTATATATACGGCAGCTCAATTTAAATCTATATAAATTTAATCTAAACTGACCTTCTTGAAATATATTTCAGAAATAATTCCAAGTTAATTTTTAAGTTCTTCAGTTTTCTTAACAATTAAGACGTAAAATACTTTTAATTTTTATCCCATTTTTTACTTTCTGAAGAAAAGAAATTAGACAGTCAGAGCTATTCGAATTTTTTCTTGGTTTTCCCCCTTTTATTTAATTAAGATGTTGAACCAAACTGAACTCTTGACTTGGCAACAACAGATGACCGGCCACTTAAAACCAAAGTGAAAGGGAAGACATCGCTGAAGGACATGTGTAAATGAATTGTCTGCGGATCGATTGATCGATGTCAAAATGGGGTTAATCAAACGTCAACACAGTTTGCATGCTAATTATCCAGATTTATAATGATAATAATAAGGCGGGTAATCGTGGCACACGTGTCAGAGGTTTAATCACAGACCCACAGCCCAAACCATTAGTCAGCCATCAAAAATATGCATCAAAATTATCCTCAATTTTATATTTTAAAGTGTTTATTACATCATTATTTTAACATATAAAAAAATAAATGACATGATAAAAAGAATGCTTTATAGACAGGATTTTCTTATTATGTACAGAACTTAGAATGCATTCCGAAAGCATTCCTATTGACATGCAATTTATTTTTTTATTTATAGCTGATATTAAAAGAAAATAGTTAATCCCTTTTAGCTGCTAATAATTTAAATTTCATTTTAGTACATTTTGGAAAACTGTGCATATTATATTTTTACGTTTAAAGTTAGATAATTTCTTCGGGTGCAGCAATTATTTGTGGAAGGGCAGGGAATGTATTATTTTGGCCAGCAGGGGTAATTAAAAAATCAAATTTCCAAATCCATTCAGATTTGCATGGCGTGGCTCAATAGATAATAGCCAATCAATGAATCGTCACTGTTGAGGCCCCCAAAACAAATAAGCCGAACACGCCCCGAACTTCCTGAGGCACACCAGACTTTTTTTTAATCATCCTCCGTCGTCTTGAACACCTCGTAATCCCCCTTTTTTGAACAAGAGGTCGCCACTTTGGCTGCCGGAGACTCTTCAGGTTTTATGTATCAATTAGTGGTTCGACGACACCGGTTCCATCCGTCAATGGGCAATCTTCGGCCGGATGCTGCGAGGGCAGCTTGATGACTTCATAGGTCTCATATTATGAAGAATTAAAAATTTTAATTATATAAGGCTTTAAAAGGTTTTATAAAAGTTAACCAGCTCTGATTTAAAATTAAAAAAAATGTTTTTCAATGCTTTAAAAACTTGTTATTCAATAATATCTTAGCTGGATTAATATTCTAGTAAGGAATCGTATACATATTAAGAGCATTTTTAGCTGTTAGTTTTTTATATATTTTTCAGAACTTATTTTTAACATATTGGAACCTATATTAGTCAAAATATATTAGTATTATATATAAGTATATTAAAAATGTAAATGTCTTATGGATCCACCCGCTTGACAAATCGATTCGTTTTCCCTTTTCTTCTCGTTTTCATTTTTGTATCGTGCTTTTTTGAGGTAGTAAGTTTATTTATCTTTATCGGCTTTGCCAAATGCTTCGACTGCACTGAAAGAAAATCTTTTGTAGTATATAGGATAAATAACAAAAAGCTGTAGTCATAAAAAATTAATATAGTTTTAGTATAATTATATAGAGTACTGAACAATTTTTTTTTATAATAAATTTGGATTTTTATTGATCAATATTGTTAAATACTCAACTTTGTTTTCAGTGTGGCTCTACTATATTGCGGTTGCAACCTGTTGCTGTTGTATTTCCAGCTTGTATATGGCACAAATTTAGTATTGATAAATCTTCCAACTTTATGCATGGCCAATAAGTATGTAAATCGACCTCCAATGGCCCACTAATGGGTGGCGATGTTTGTTAATGTGAATATATATATTTTATTTTCTTTCACAGAGAACTAGACAGAGAGAGAGTGACGGCGACAGAAAGAGAGGGAAAGTGAGCGAGAAATTAAATAATTAACAAGCCAGGCAATATGCATATCGAATTTTTTAGTTATGCCAACAAACTGCAGGGGAACTCTCATAAATAATTAATAATGTATCTCAGATGTTAATTTGGTTTGATCGGAAATTTATGGCACGAAAGAATTGGGGACCGGGCCTACAAATTCCGGATAGAGTTACATACTATAAATTCCATTTCATAACTATTCAAACTAATTTGGTAATGGTCCTTTTAATGATTTGATTTAATGGGTATAATTACTTTGCCAAAGGGCATTACATAAATGATTTATAAATTGGCTAGATTAAAACTAAATTTTAGTTCGAAATTCCATAAGATTGGTATTTACATTTAAATGTAACATGAGATCTTAGCTGGAACTACTTTATCATTTTGTGTCTCTTTTTTGATGGTGATATTTTTGTAAAATGTAATTATTTTGATAATATTTGTTTGATTACTAAAAAAATTAATTTTTTGTAATTTACAATATTTTTTTGAGTGAAACTACAATTTAACAAATTAATTTTCCAAGTCTTGAATAATTCTCCCTTAAAATTAAAAATGTAACTTATCATAATTTGATAAAAATCTATGTTTAAATATTTTCATTAAGCATTTCAAAATTCCATATAATTATGTAATGCCCAAAAAGGGCCAAAAATGCGATTCACACATTGTTTTATTTAATCAGTTAATACGTATCTTTGGGCCAGACCCTTTGATTTTTGTTTGGCCAATATTCCGATTCAATTCAATTCAATTCGATTCAATTATTTGCATGTCCCGCCTTTGTTGACCATCTCGTCTGAAATTTTGCCCTGCCGGTCTTTTGTATTGGCCAAGTTGTTAGCGATCGCTTGGCATTTGGTGGGCCAAATATGCATAAAATATTTAAGCCAAGATGGGTCAAGGTTTCTCGACCATTTGCGAGGGGGGAAGTCCCCCCAAAAACCAAGCGCCATGGGAAAATTACACGGGTTTCTGCGGAAAAGCAAATAAACGATGTCGCTATAATGGTTATACAACGCCATCTGTTTTGTTGTGATTTGTATCGATCGACTTTGAATAGAGTCATGTTTATGTGTGGTTTTTTAGATAAGCAATGTGTTAATGGTGGGCCTTTTTTGTGGTTTTTGCTTTGGGTTTTGGTAGCAAGAAAGTTATCTCTAAATGAATAACTATCTATGTTTGTAATATATCAATAATTATTTGGAGAAACCTGTTTAAAATTTGTAAAATCAATTTATTTCTTTTATAAATAGGTGTATATAAAGTATTTTACAAAGCCTACAAATGGATTTTTTATTAACATTAAATAAATATATCAATAAGTATTTTGAGAAACCTTTTTTAAAATTTATAAAATCTGTTTATGTTGTTAATATATAGGTATATAGAAAGTAATTTACAAAATAGTAATCGAAGGCCTCGTAGCTAGCACTACATCCCCTATGTTAGTATTAGTTTTGTAAACTTTACTATCATCTTAAATAAATAAATAAATAAATTTACAAAATAATTGATTTTTTTTTAACATTGTATTCCTAAATCACTTACTTTTCTTTCAAACATACAAACTAAATAATACCAATTTACCATCAGAAAACTAAAAAAACAGCTAATGGGATGCGATTATAAACATCCGATTGATGTTGCACAAGAATCCCCGAAGACATCGGTTAGCAGGTGGTATTATTTTAAACCCAATTCGAGGCGGAGGTGAGGCGACATGCTTATCAATCTTTAATGTTTAATTCATGGCCCAAAAATTAAATAAACAAAAAAAAACACCGAGGCGAGCCGACACGCATTGCTAATGACAGATGTAATAATTTTTGGCAATGCCAGCCAGATATTTAGCGAGCATTTTGCGAAACCCCTAACTCAAAATCCAAAACCCGAAAACTGAAAACTGAAAAGCCGATGCATATGCAAACCTATAGCTATAATAACAGGAAATCCAAGCCACCCGATAACGAGCGGGATTGCGCAATCTGCACGGAGAACACACGGCCCCCGGTGACTGATGTTTGATGTCCCATGTCCGATGTCCGATGTTAGAGGTATTTTTGGGAGCAGGCGTATTAATTACATCCGCCCAAAGCACACGGGCTCGGGAATTAGATGGGCTACACTGGAAAATATTTAGCCTTCTGAAGAAAAGTTCTGAAAAAAATCAAATATTTATTTCGATTTTTTTTCGATTTGAAGTGCATGTTAATGCTCATTTGAGGTTATAACTTAGTTATAATGAGATTATATAAACCGTATATTATGAATTTTTAATAGGTGTTTTAAAGACCAAAGGTATAAGAATTTTATAACTAGTTTAACGAGGTATGATAAAAAAAATATTATAAATGGAACATTAGTTAAAAACTGGAAAATATATAGTTTGATGAGAAATGTTCTGAAAACATAAAGTTCATTTTTCGATTTTATTTCAATTTAAAGAGCATGTTAGTGCTCATTTGTGGTTATAACTAAGTTACAATAAGATTATAAAAGCCGTATATTATGAATTTTTAATAGGTGTTTTAAAGACCAAAATTATACAAATTTTATTACTAGTTCCACGAGGTATGATATAAAAAAGAATATAAATATGATAGTTTCCAAAACATTTGTATGTCTTGAGCCAATTCCAATAAAATTGTCTAAGGATGATTGAAATTTTATATTGATCTGAAATTTGTTCTATAAAAAACAGATGTCCAAAATAAATATGATTTTTATAAGATCTTTGTTTCTAAGAAAAGTGTTTCTGGGAAAGATTAAAATAAAATAGTTTTATTTTATACACTCGTAATTCCTAAAAACTATGCTATTATAAACAAGATATGTTAATATTCAGTACTCAAGGCACCATCTCTAAATTACTTACCAAATGTATCTGTGCTACCAGCCATGTTATATGGGCAAATACCATATAGTCAAGCCCTTTTTTAATGGTCCAATATATACAGTGGACTATTTGTTTTTCTAGGTGTAGTAGTGTTGACCGGCGATAACTCAATAAGCGGAATCTGCATTTTCGAGCGAAATGCGAAGAAGTCGAAAAGGTTGCGCAGCATCCCAAACTAACTAACCCCAACTAATGAAAGGCCCCCTTTCTGACCACCTTGGAGTTTGGCAAAAGATGATGGAGATGGGGGGGAAATTGGGAGATGGAGATGTCGATCGCGATCGCTGACGATGAAGATGAAGATGCGCCGACTAGTTTTCGGTTTGGATCGGATCGGTTTGTCAGGGGCCCTTGTATAAAACGCGTGGCCGGGTCAATCGGGGCATCATTGATCGGTTGGACATCGAGGGCTCAAGCACGACCACTGTGAAGATGAATGTAAGCAGAGCATTTCCCAACCCAAGGCTAAGGATTACCATCAAGCCAAGGATTCATATAATCATCCATCATATCCATTTCATATCAGTGATAAAACCCCATCTCTTTTTTTTTCTGTGACTCAAAAACTGTTTTGTGCTTTCTTTCGATTCGTTCTCGGTGAAGTTCTTTGGCGCCATTATTGCGCTCGCCATCTGTGCGCTATGTGGATTAACCCAAGCGGATATATCGCTCAAGTTGCAACAGCAACAGCAGCAGCTGCAACAGCCGCTGATCACCAAGGAGCAGTACTACAAGACGGGCGGTGGCTTCCAGGAGAGTAGCTACGCCAATTCCGGCTACCAGATCTTTGAGGTGCACAACAATTTCGCTGGCCAGGCCAAGGGTCCGGCCTATTTGCCGCCTCAGGGTCAGAGTTCCAGTGGTCAGGGTCATGACGACAGCTTGGATCTGTCCTTCCTGAACTTTGCCGATGCTCCAGCTCCAAGTCCTGCTGCTGCTCCGATTTCCGTGCCCTTCCCTTCGAGCTATCAACATGACTTCCAGCGAAAGGCTCCGGCCTCGTCCTCTGGGGGTTACAGTGGCCAGGCCTATCTGCCACCCACCAGCGCTGCCACGCCCTTTGTCCAGCAGCAGCAACAAGTGGTGCAGCAGCAACAGCAAGTGATTCCCCAGCAACAGCAAGTGATTCCACAGCAACAAGTAGTGCAACAGCCACAGCAGGAAGTGCAACAGCAACATCAGGTGGTGCAGCAGTCACAACAGGTGGTGCAGCAGCAACAGCAGGTGGTGCAGCAGCAACAGCCACAAGTGCTGCAGCAGCAACAACCCCAAGTGGTGCAGCAGCAACAAGTGCAACAGCAATACAGCCAGCAGAGCTATGAAGCACCCGCCTATCTGCCACCCAGTGCCGCCCAGGAGGTTGCCCAACCAGTGCCCATCAGCTACCAGCAGCCACAGAAGGCTTTCCAAGGACCCACCTATCTGCCACCCCAGCAACAGCAAGTGCAACAGGTTCAGGAGGTGCAACAGCAGCAGCAGCAACAAGTGCAGCAGGTTCAGGAAGTTCAGCAACAGCAGCAGCAACAGCAGGAGCAGCAGATTGCTGTGCAGGCTCAGGGCCAGGAATATCAGGCTCCTGGCTATCTGCCTCCTGGCTATGACTTCTCCAATCCCGATCAGTTGCCTCTGTCGTTGAGCCAAAGTGTTGCCACCTCACAGAGTGTGTCGTCGGCTCAAAATGTGGCCACAGCACAGAGTGTTGCATCGGTGCAACAGGTTGCTGGCGAGTATCGTGCTCCTGGCTACCTGCCACCTGGCTACGATGCGCCAGCTCCACAGGCACCAAGCCAGATCAGCTACCAGCAACCACAGCAGCAACTACAGCAGCAACCACAACAGCAGCAGCAGCAACAAGTATATGTTGCACCCACACAGGCAACTGTTAGCGATCCTGGCGCCCTTCCCGATGGCTATGACTTTGTGAAGCCCGAAAATGCCGAGGCAGCCATTGCCGAGCTGCACAGCCTGCAGACCGCAACCAAACTGCTGAAGCAGCAGCAGGAGCAACAGTTGCTGTTGCAACAACAGCAGCAGCAGCAACAACAGCAGCAGCACCAGCAGCAACAGGTCGTGGTGCAGTCTCAGTTGCAGGTTGCCCAGCAACAGCAAAGCGCAGACATTGTCTACGGTCATCCCACGTTGCAGCAACAGCAAGCATTCGCTCCTCAGAGCACACTGGCAACATCCACGGCGGTTGGCTACCAACAACATTACACGGCTCCTGGCTACCTGCCACCAACTGCCACTGTTTCGGCTCCAGCTCCTGCGCCGTCTCCCGTATCCGTTTCCATTCCAGCTCCAGCTCCTTTGGCTGCCCCAGCTCCTGTTGCCGTTGTCCAGGCAACAGCAACATCTAGCTCCTACCAACAGCAACAGCAGCAGCAGTTCAGGGCATCTGCCTATCTGCCACCAACTGTTGCAGCTCCTGCTCCCGCTCCTGTCCATGTGGCAGCTCCTGCACCTGCTCCTGCTCCTGTCCATGTGGCAGCTCCTGCTCCTGCTCCCGCTCCAGTGCGTGTTGCAGCTCCTGCTCCCGCTCCCGTCCATGTGGCCGGACCCGCTCCCATCGCCATTTCCCTGCCAGCTCCGGCACCCACCCAGGTGACCCACATCCACTCCCTGCGGAGCTACATGAACACCGTGCAACCCTTCGCCCGCTATGCGCAGCCAGTGGCCGTACGTCAGCAACACCAGCACGTCGTGCAGCAGCAACATCAGCGTGTGCAGCAGCAACACCACCATGTGCAGCAGCAACACCAGCAGGTGCAGCAGCAACATCATCAAGTGCAGCAGCAACAGGTTATCGAGGTGGCACCCATGTACCGTGAGCAATCGAAGCGACCACGCTTCTATGCCCCAGCCTATGTGAGCAATGCTGTGCCCCGCCAGCAACAGCAACAGCAGCAACACCTGCACCACCACTACCACCACCGAGTGGTGCACAGCCAGAAGCTCCAACCACTTCCAGCTCCCACTCTGAACTTCAAGGCCCAGCAATCGCTGCAGAAGTTCATGCCCAAGGACGTTCAGGTGGCGGTGAATGTGGCTATGGCTGCCACCGCGCCCGTGGTTGCACCACCCGCCCTGCGTGGCAGTTCGCGAGTGCGCACTGTACAGATCGTGAAGCCACATGCCACACGCACCTTCAAGGTGCTGGAGCAATTGGATCAGGCTGGCGTCAAGACGATCAAGATCCTCGGGGCCACCAATGAGCAGCCACAGGGACGCCACCAGGTCGTCAAGGTGGTGACCCAGAATGCGCAGAGCGGTGCCGAGAGTCATGTGCAGACGGTGAAGATCTACGATGAAGTGCAGCAGGTCCAGCAGCCACTGCGCCTGCAGCCACTGAGCGGTGGCAACAACGCCTACTTGCCACCTGCGCGTCCCAGGTCGAGGATTGTGCGTCAGGCTTCCAAGCCACTGCGTCTCTATCCCGTCGCCAGTCTCTAGAGGATGGGGTCATGGTCAACTCCCAGCACTGATTAGTTGTTAATTTCATCATCGAGCGTTTAACTATTTTTTTTTCTACCTCATTTCGCATGCATTTCTGTCCACACTACAAGCAAATCGCTATCCAAATACCCCAAATCGCATTCGAAATCTAATCATTTGCATGCAATAACAACCGATTCGAATTTCTTACCTAATAAATGTATACTTACGTAAAATATGTAAATAATTTTGATGTTTAATTTCGTTGATTGGGATTGCTCATCCATTGGAGTTGGCTATGCATTTGCGGTGGACCTTGAGGTTTTATGGGCTGTGATCGAAGTTTAGCATTAATTCTGGTGAAACGGAAACAGCCAGGTTATTTTTTAGACATTCCAAATTTTATGGGATTTAAATTAGGTTTGATTGACGATTGTAGTCAATGCATTTATAAGCCTTTGAAGTTTAAGTTTAAGTATCTTTACTATGTACATATTTTATGTCTACAGCAGAAAAGGTATTTCTGAATTTTAGAGATTTATTTAGAAAAAAAACCTTTGAAAAAGTTATTTTCCAAATTGAATTGGACTAAAATTGGTTTTAATTACAACTATAAATTTTAAATATCTATATTTGATTTGCAGATAGAAAGATATATTAGATTTGTTTCCAATTTTACAAGTTTTTCACCAGCTTAGGCTATAAATCTACCATTTGGTTTCAAAATAAGTCGTAAAACAACTTCTTACAAGTCCAATTTCGTAGCTCCGATTATCTCCATGATCGCTATGACGATTTAGACGATGTCTCTGCTCTCGTATTGCTCATCCCAAAGGTGTGTCTTCCCCTTTTCAAACTCTCTCCCAATGCGTGACCTTCGTTTTCGGTTTCATTGGGGTTTTGGCCCGTGGGTTTTGACGGGTTTTTAAATTTGTTTGCTTCCGCTCTTAGTAACCGGCGAATAGTGAAAGGCCCGACCGGATTTATGGCCTACACGACTCATTTTCGACTCATGTGTTATACGATGACAATTAATCGCACCTTACTCAATACTTAAATATCTTACTCTAAATAAAACCACAAGATTTTGCAAATACCTCATTTTAAGTTATTAAGAAATGTTTTTATTTTCCATCTTGTGAGGCAAACAACTTGAAAACCAATTATCAATATAAAACTAATACAAAAAATTTATGTTTTCATATACAAAGTAATTTTTTTCTTTTATTTTAAGGCTAAACACAAAATAGGGAATTATATTTTCTTTCGGTGTATTTCCTATGAATGCAATCAATGCCACTTATTGATGTATGTATAACCAGTTTTTGGTCACCGCCCGATGACATAATTATCATCTGAATGCATCTAAGCCCTGAGCCTAACAAAAGCGATGAGCCACTCCAATTTTTATTGAACTAGTAAACCTTTACCAATAAACAAATCATTTTAAACTAGGCGGGAAAGCTCAGGCACAGAAAAAATATAGTAACAAATATCAAACCAATATCATTTTATGTCTATGGTTTTCTTACGAAACCTAGCTTTATATCACTTTGTTTTATGATGTTGATTTTAATAGATCTAATTTAAAAAATTATTGGCAAAAACCCCTGAAGTTGGGAACCATTATATCACTCTGCTCTATGATTTTGATTTTAAAAGATCTAGTTAAAAATATTATTTCAAAAACCCTATGTAGATGGGAACCATTATATCACTCTGTTCTATGATTTCGATTTTAAAAGATCAAATTAAAAATATTGTTGTAAAAAACCAAAGAAGTTGGGAACCATTAGTTTTAAAAACTCATCTGGGTTTCTTAAAACTTCTTAAGACATACCCCACCCAAAGGAAAATACTTATTTCCAGATCCTATCTTTCAATAGGATTTCAAGTCTAGATATTTCGCGGGACAAACTGCAACCAGATGCCGCCCTTGTGGACGCCCACAAAGATGACGGGATCTATTTCGGTGCCGTCTAGGGTGCGAGGACTGACCAGGACCTCGAACCGCTGGACAATGGCTGCCAGGGCAGCCTTCGCCATGGCCAGGCCCAAACGCATTCCCACACACTGTCGGGGTCCATTGCCGAAGCCCAGAAAAACGCCCTGCTGCTTAAAGTTCTTCAATCCGCCGTCCAGGAATCTTTCTGGTCGGAACATCTCCGGTTCCGGATAGAATTCGGGATCATTGTGCAGGGCGTATACGGGAATCATCAGGTTGTCTCCGGGTCGCAACTTGAGCGGTTCCGCGTGGTGACTGCCCCGCAATTCGTACGCCTTTGTGCAGGTCTTCGAGGACCAACCTCCGGCCGGATAGATCCGCAAGCTCTCTGAAAATAAGGGCTAGAGATACTTGGGTTTCGGAAATACCATACCATCCCGCACCATTGAAGCAGGCACTCAGATAGGGCAGGTCTATAAGCGCGTCCAGATCGGGGAGATCTCCGCCGGGATTGGACTTCTGGAGTTCCTCGAACAGACGTTGCTGGCAATCCGGATTGCGACCAAGCTATAGGATATATATGACATATATGAAATCTTGTATCCCTCAAAATATATCTGATCTTAATTTTTTTGTGAGTAGAGGCTCGACCGTAAAAATTGCTTTACTACTTCATTAAAGTTTAGGACTCAGATTATAAAATCAATAGGATTTTGAAATCACTTTTAAAGTTTTCTAAAAGTATGCAGTCTAAGTAAGATATGTGTATTTCGTAATGAAACCATCGAACTTCAGAGTAGAAAATATATTGTTGCACACTTTTAAACACCTTTATAAGAAAATTTAAAACTTGATATCGTCGTCTTATGTATGTATCTACTATTCTTGGTGTATCGAAACTCAAGTTGACGATTTCAATACAAAGAAATAGTAGGCTTAAATAAAATATTCCTAATATCTGAGCCAATTTACCCCGAAACACATGCAAAACTCTATAGATTTCTTGGCAAGTTCTTAAACCAACCGTCCGTAAAACCGTCGGAGATTTCTAAAACAGCCTAGTAAATCTTTAAAGTTATTATAAAGTATTAACTTAACCTTACCAGCAAAAGACATTGGGCAATGCTGTTGGAAGTGGTGTCCAGGCCGTCGAACATGAAGGTCATGACATGCGAGGCCATGTCCTCCTCGGTGAGATTGAGGTCCCTCTGCATCTCGAGCAGGTGGTTGATAAAGTCGTTCCGCTCCAGGTTTTTGGAACGCCGCAGGCTAAGAGCTTCGCTGATCAGCGCTCCATAGAACTCATCGTGGGAGCGGGGAAATACCTTGGGGCGCAGGCGCCGGGGAAGATTTGGAAAGAGTCCACAGACGGCACCGGCAATGGCCAATCCCATATTCTCGGCGGACATCTCCTGGTTTTGTCGGACAACGGGAAGTGGATTTTCGCTGAAAGCGCGAGCCTGGATGCCCAAAACACAGTCGAAGAGAGATTCGCCGGTGAATCGCAGGCCAAGCTTTAAAAAAGTGGAGAGATTGTATTAAAATCGTATTAATTGCAAGTTTCAAAACCCCTTAAAAGGTGTTTAAAAGTATGCTAGAACTAACAAGCTAAAAAAATTGTTGCATACTTTTTAGCACCCTTTTTCAAGATTTTTTAATATAATCTTTCTAAAATCTTGCATTTTAGAGCTTTGTTTCCTATATCAAGGCACAGAACTACCCACATCAATGCCGTCGAGATCCATTCCCCCGACCGACTTCCTGCAGATGAACTCGCAGAGATCCCGACAGACGCGCTGCATGATGGCATGGGTGGTGCGGATGCGTCCGTTGGTCAGCAAAGTGGAGAATACCGCCCGCTGGCGACGCCACTCCTCACCCTCCAGAACAAAGGGATTGAGGGCGACCAGTCGATCCTTGTTGATATCTATCATCTTGGAGGCATCGTTGTCCTCGAAGTGTTTGAAGGCGCTCACATAGATCTCGTAGACCAAACGGGGTTCCAAAATTAGCAGCTTGGGTGCTCGCACCAGGAAGCAACCCACATAGCTGTGCGTATTCCGGTACCGCCTGCAAAGTAAATGGGAATGGGTTTCTTATATTATTAGTAAATTTTGAGTACATTTAAATGAAAAACTTTGGGCTATATAGAATTTATAGGTGTTTTATGGTATCAATGGTAAACCTCAGTTGGATTCAAAGACTTCTGCCAAGATGCAATAAGAAATGGTATCCGAAGCTTAATACATTTTTAATATGATCTATAAAAAGAAATACCATTTACAAATTATTAAAATTTTCTTAAAGCCAATGGTGTATCTATAATCTATATCGTATCTATAATTACGTTTTTTAAAAGTTTTTGAGAACTATTTTTTCGACATATATATATATATATGTATATGTGTATATATGTATAGGTATAGGTATAGGTATATAGGTATTAACATGCGCAAATACACTGGGAAAGGGTATGGGAGATATATCCCCCCACTCGGGTTAAAAAGTATATGTAAAATCTATTTGATTCCAAATTTTTGATATCCACTCAACAAATTTTTGTTTATAACCCCCCCATAACCAACTTGTGGACCCGCCACTGGCCCCTTAAAATCACAATACCCACATGTAGATATCGCGCATATCCATAGTGAAGTGCTGGCGTGGCCACACCATATTGGGAAAGGACCCGAAAAGTGGAAGGACTCGGGGCTCCGTGACTCCGCGACGCCGCCAGTGGCCATAGTTGGAGACCAAAAACACGTAGATCACCCCCAGCAAAGTCGCAATTCCCAGCAGAAGCGATCCAAACATGACGACGATGTAAGCGAAACTGAGTGGATGAAATTGAATCTGATATGCTGATCTTGGGCACCGGGGGATCGCCTCCCTAGCGTGCTTCTATTTTATATTTTATTCCTCAGTTCGCAATGAGCTTATGTGGGTTTGCGTGACTCTCAAATGATGGGGTGCCATTATCGAATTAACCGACGACCTGCTCTTATATCAAAACACATAAGGAGGTGTATTATAAAGTCAACCGATGAGCTTTTGCAATCTGAAATGTTTTCGCAATATATTGAAGCTATATGTATTAAATATATGTGTTTTTAACGTTTTTTATAAATTGTATTGTATTGTATACTTAAAAAAAAGCTTTTGTTCGGATAATCTCATTAGATCCCACGATCTTTCTTTCCTAGATTATAACAAAAATGCGTTGCAATACAAAATACTGTTATAAAAGGTCATAGGTCAAGAAATCGAGGATCAGCATCA